GTCTTTTTTTATGGAAAAAACATGCTGCAAAATGGCTGCTACTGGCACATCAGCCAATCAGAAATTTTTTTCACCATTTGRCAAAAACAAACTGATGGTTTATGTCTCGGCTTTCGATGATGACATTTTTTTAACTTCGGTGAGAGCGGCTGGTATTAAGGCTGCGCGAGAGGCCACTACAGCGGCTTTTTTTGTTAATAACAGTGGCAGTGTAGTTACTAAAGCCAGTGCTGCTGTTGATGCTGGTTTTTTTTCAACAGATGGCGCCAGTTCCAATAAATATTTCATAAATTTATGATGATCCATTATTTTTTTGTCAACAATGAGGGCAATCTGGATGGGCTGAAAAATAGGTCCACTCCATTTTATTTTTTTTATGTGCCAGAGATATTGCCAACGGTGCATTAACTTAGTTGCATATCGTTAGCTAGTTCAGCATTTTAAGCAGAATAATGACGAATCTCATAAGTATCAGTTGCAGGCGTATCGTCGCTAATTAGCGGCATTTCTCCTTTTTCGTCATAATTGGACACGTCGAGATTTACTAGAGAATTTTTTTCTAGGCTACACAGATAAGGGCGGCAACATCAACAGAAAAATTTCATTAAATGAAGTTTTTGCCAATTATAAGCAACATTGTTCCTCTGCTAGCTGAATTTGAAAAGCATGCAGCAGTGAAATAATATGGCATCAGGTGCTATTGGCAATGACCTGCGCATCCAATTCGAGGATATTAAACACACAGTGCCATTATGGCAACACTTACCAGTGGCAATATTCAGATATAAAGTAACGTAAAAGTAAAGTTGAGCAGCTAAAACTGGTATCGATTGGTTCTACAGCAGTTGCGCCACTGGCAGAGCTTTCATAAATATTAATAATATTGAATATATTGGAGATAGAACTGCAGCCGATGAAAATAGCAGCTTCCACGAAATGCTGAAACTTGGGGATATTTAGTCAGAAAGTGTGGGTCGAGAGGCTAAACCGATTGACGCGGCACAATGCTACAGGTGACAATCATTTGGCCATATAAACAACTACTGCGGACGCCCAAACAGAAACAGCAGCAATTACAACCACAACAGCTAACAGTACAAAGCAAGGCACAAACGAAAGTGAAGGCAGCAACATCAACAAGTAACAAATACCGAAATTCTGTAAAATGCGCACAAATCTATATTTAAAATAGGGAGTCTACGGCATAGCCCCAAGATGGTACTCACATCCAAAAAAGTATCCATTTCAAGCTTCTGTGGCTCTAAAAATCTGTGAACCAAAAAATATATCATCCAATAATCAAATAATAACTATTTCCATTACAGTCATATCTAAAAAATTTCAAATTTACAACGCTCGATTTAAGAGAATTGAAATAGCGTGACTAATTATTATTATATATAAATAACAAACAAATTATTATTGAGCTTACATGAAAGTTGTCAATAAGTATATTACGGTATTGTTAACGGAGGACTGATGATTAGTATAATACAAAATGCAAAGTGCTTGAAAATTTTCACTTATAAAATTTGATGTATATTTTGTAACAGTTGAACATTTTTAAAATATTGATACATAAAATTTTGAATAAGATATTGATAAATTTTACATAAGTATTTTAATGTATACTTTTCTTTTTTAATACTTTATAAAACATGTAATGATATATTTCATTACATAAGGCAAAGGTGTTTTTAATTGTACTTTCCGTCAGTATATAAATATGAAAATATTTTTTAATAGTAATATGGTAATGTAACTTACTAAATTTAATAAACATTTTTAGTAGTTCTCAATTTTGTCAAATAGTAAAAAAAAACTGAATAGGTGTACATATATTAGAATTTGATCTGCTTATTAACTTATATAGTACATATATTTAAACTTTAAAATGTAGAAAAAGAAAATTGATTTTTGTTTACATTAAAAAAAAAACGGAGTGTCAAGTAAAATCGTTAAAGTCTAGCAGTGACTGATGCATTAACATAAAAGTTTAGGTAGATGAATTTTATATTATAAATTATTGAAAATAATGTACGCACTTATTTAAGTGCTAAAAATTGCGTAGTTTTTAAGAAAAAACTTTTCTATGATCTTGTCTAAAATTCGCTTTCTTCGTGTGTTGTAGTTTTAGTCTTCAAAGTTTCATTTTCTCCGTTGGTCTTTTCATGTGATATGCTTGTTATAACCGACTTTATGACGACAGAGCTAGTGCTTGTTTCTGTGGTATTGCTAAAAAATAAAACAGTAAGATATCGAAACAAAATCAAATGTTTTATACGTACCCTTTTGAAGCCAAATCTAGTAAATTTGGTATATTTATATTAGGCATATCCTTTATATTGACATTTGTTGTGGTCTGGTTTGTTTGTGTGCTAAGCACTGACAGACGACCTATCAAATTATTTTAAATATTATTAATCAAATACTTAGAGAAAATATTTAAAATATAATAAATTTTACATAGTCATGCAAGAACGGGTAACTTTCATGTGCCCTTAAAACTAATATCGCTAATTTATTGTCTACTATGTGTGCGATTTTTACTGCCATTAACCTAAAAACAGAGGTAAATAAGTAAGTTTTCATTTTAAATTTACAATAACAAATAGAATATTAGAAAAGGATGAACACGGTAAATGAGTCACTAACAACATGGAGCACCAAGACAGTGGAATTATTTGTGAAGTTATTGCTCAAACTAATTGTACGTATGTTTTACTTACCGACAGTTTCTTCTGTAGTTGTGGAACAAAGGGTTGTTGTAGTGGTATTCAAATGATCCCGCACAGAGTCGACTGTAATGTCACCGATAGAACTGGTGATTGTTTCATTGGCGCGATTAGGCGAATTGCTGATATTCAAACCGTTAGTAAGCGGAAGACTGTTATTTTCTAAGCTTAGCTCAAGCGCCTTAGCACGTTGTTTAGCAATTGGTGGTTCAGGTATGTTTGTATGGGCATTGTTTCCAGCACTATCATCGTTTGAATCGACATCTTTATCGCTATTATCTTCTTCGTTAGTTTGAATTGTAGACTCGTTGTCATCGTTCTCGATGGGTTGGACCTCAACTGCACCTGTGGGTTGTACAACTCGGAAGGTAGATAAAGCTATTCGTTGCAACTCTGAAGAAGACATCATATACAACGCCTCGCCGCTATTTGTAAAACATAGCGACGAAATACCACTGTAAAGAAAATTTAGTAAAGGAATAAAATCAATATGTACAGTATAATAGATTATCAACTAACTTGATGTCCTCACGTCTCACTGCAGCTGCATTTAATTGGCGCTTTAATTCTGGCACTGATAATACCATGATGTCGCCCATGTTAGTTAAACACATTAATGCCATCTCATGATAGATTTCACTATCGCACGCAGCTGAGCCTAGACTTGTATTTGCTACTCCATCCCCACCTTCGTGAGATCTCGCAGATTTCGTTGGACTGGTACCATTTATGCTTTGCAAAAGTTCATGAGAAACACGACAGCTAAATGAGCCAAAGTGTATGCGGCGTATACGGGCTCCTTCGTTAGCCGTCAACTTGTATTTGTTGATAGGCTTCAACTGGGGTAACGAAAAAACCTTAAACTGTTCCTCTGAAGCAATAAGAACACGATGGGGTGGAGTACCATTTTCCCCATAATTAAACTGGTCAACAGGGGATCCCATTTGGTCAAATATAGAAATGCCTATGACCGGTGCTCTATGCTTTAACTGAATTTCCTTGGCTAGCTGTGCAGATATTCGACGCGGTGTCTGTGGTGTTGCATTGCCACTAGCAGGTGGTCCAGCGGTGGCTGCAGTTTGTACTGGTGGTAAATGTAAAAGGAATACCGAAACAGTGCTTGCGTTTGTGGCAGACCACAAAGTTGGAGATGTTATATTAACTGAAAAAACAAAACCAAATTATTCCTGATATCCGAAATTTCTACCATACATACCATTCGTAATATAGGTTTTAGCGAAGAGTAGGCAACGCACCATAGACCCCATCCCATCGTCAGCACAGCGCGCTTCAATTTGTCTTTCAACAGGACGCGCTTCCAACTATAATAATATTATTGTTTATCTCTTTATAACAATGTAATCGTAAGTACTTACTGTAGTTGGCACATGATTGGTGGGATTATTGCGAGTAGATCTTCCTTTACGCAATTTACGAAACGATTCGCGAAGTGATTTCTTAAAGGATTTGCGACGCGAGAGTTGTTCGCCGGCACCAGTTAAATCGTTTGGATTTAATGTGCAACGGTGAAACACCGGTACAAAGTTTTTGAAATCAAATAACACCAAACCATGCGCAGTGCCTCCGGATACCAATCCCCAGTTAGCTTCTAACGCTAGGCTTGTAATGCTTGCTGGTGGAAGTACTTGCAACACGCCGGTTATGCTGACGCCATTTTCACTTATTGGCTCAGCATCTTCAGCTAATAAATTTGGACGGACGTTCAACTGATCGTGGCCTTTCCATACAAAACCATCACGATCACTAACCAAGTTCATAGAGCTGAACTTTAATACACCACGCTCCGCGGTATCACCGTTAAAATCAGCTATAACAATTTGTCCTGCTGTGCCCCCTACTATCAATTGACCTGTTTTGGGGCACAACGCAATTTTTTTTACTGCTAAGCGAGGATCGTCTGAATATGGATCAAATAGACCCGATTTGCGAAATGGTGGTTCTCCTTCATCAATTTGTTCATTGCCTTCAATTACAGCTGCGTCGTCGTGATTTTCATGACCAAAAATATTTGCTGTCTTAAAATTATATATCGGTTTAAGAAGCACTCCAGAACAATCCCAGAACTTAACGGAACCGTCTTCGTGACCAGTTAAAAGGATCTCGTATTCTTGCATTGATTCGTCAGAAGAGTCTACGAGTTCATCTGGTAGTACACCACCTGTTACGGGCCAGTCAATGCTGCTATAGTCAATGTCTTGTTCATCTCCAGCGAGTAAAATGCGTTTATACACAGCTTGTGAGACTTGTGAGGCTAGATAATTACAAGTCACGGCTGAAGCATGCACCGAGTGCAGATAAGGCGCTTTGACTGCTGGAACTTTAGCATCAGTGAGATCATACGCGCACAACTCTTCCTCAAGCAATACAACAAGCACTTGTAGGTCATCACTATTTTCCTTATATGTTACGAAGAAATCAATGACTTTGGACGTAAAATCAAGGCAGACCTTTTTCCCGTCGCTGCCGTGAACTGAAACGCAGTTATGATCACCATAAGCTGAGCGTGGCATAAAAAAAAAAAAAATGATTACATCATTAGCTCTAAATTACATAGAAAAAGAATTTTTTTAAAAAAAAAAAATAAAAACCAAACTGTAAAAAAAGTTAAAAAAAAAAAAACAAACAAACTCTTAAAAAAAAACTCTCTTGCCTTTATAAAGCCTATTTATGCTCTTGCATGGGTCTGGACCATAAGGAACATAGTTTACATTTTTGGGTGGTTCTCCACTGGCTATGACCCAACTGGCATAAGAGCCATCTGCATGGTACCAATTGAATTCTGTGCCAGTCGAGTTGATAAACAAGCCGACACTTTGGCCATGACCGGGCGCAATGTAAGCGCGTTCAACAGCCGACTGTTCCAGGTCCCATAATACACAAAGTCCGCGATTGTAAGCAATGAGTAGTTTGTTAAGTGCGTTTGGCAGTTGGCGTATTGATTCTATAGCACCTGGATTGAGTTTGTAAGTTGATGGTACTTGTTCCAACACCACATCATGATAAATGACAGGTTCACGTATAGTAAACGATTTTAAGTCGAACTGATATATGTTGCCTCCTTCGGTTCCGATCCACACAAGATCTTTATTAAGTGAGCAGCATAATGAAGATACTTTTTTTAAAAAAAAATCGAAGGGAAGAGTTTTAATTGGCACTAGCGTCGTTCCCACGGGCTCCCACAATATAAGTTGATTGGCTGCAGTTAACGAGAGAACACGCCCAGTGCCATAAACCCACTCAAGTAGTTGAACGTTTAGTTCAGATGCTGAGTTATTGACCACGGTATGTTGTGCATATAACTCTACACCGGGTCGACCGAATACTTTGAGAGCTCCAGTCTGTGTTCCAATAGCCATAAGCTTTGAAACCGGATCGTACGCCAAAGCAGAGGGTTTATGCGGAAAGCCATGTTGAACGGTCTGTAATTGAAAAAAATAAATAAATAAATACATAAATAAMATGTAAGCAGAAACTTACAGCATAAAAAAAATGAAAGTTTAAAATATTTTGTCAACTATTAGATTAAGTTAATTGACTGTAGGAGTGGCGATGACTACAAATGTAATTAAAAAATGATTTGACTTGAGCGCGTAATTTGAAGTTATTTGTCAATTTATCATTCCATTGATATATATATTTTAAATAAAAGGTTTACGATTACATTTTGTAGCCCTTGGAGCGTTGTCGTTATCAGAGCGGACGTTCTTTATAATTTAGGTCAGTTAATATTCTTAGTCATTCATATGGATAAGAATATTACTTACAATCAGACAAGAAAAATAAACTTAACCACAAAAAATGAAATATTTTACTTCATAGTTAATAATATTAATCATCTTGTACTAAGCTTCGTGCACCCTGAATTTTTTCTATGCATATATAGACAATGAACAAGCTGTGCAAATTAGAGATAACATCAGCTTATTAATTAAGCTAATAATTAGCTTTGCACTACTCCGATTAAAAAAAAAAAGTAAAGGCTAAATTTTTAAACCATTTTACGAGCACTTACGTTAACACGGGGAATAGCGTTAATCACAGTATTTAGCAGTGAATAAAGTCCATATACTTTAATTAACAATTCTTATTTTGACAGAGCATACATAGGTAAAGAAATTACTAGTCTTTGGCCTCATTACAGGTGCAGCATTTTTCACAATCGTAGTGACTGTATTTTGAAATCTTATCAGCTAGAAATACTGCGCCTATCAGTACCCACAAGATACACCCAATATATTTCCCCATTTATGTAGAGTACTATATAATTCTCTCACCGACCCATTTCCTCGGGTTGTACATAAAACAACCAACTTTATCTTATCTTTAATGTAGCGTTTACTTTTGGTAGTATGTATTTTTTGCCAGACTACGTTAGGAACATAACATTTTTATTTTGGGTTGATGACAATAAATGCATATAAGTTCCGTATATGTGTATAAATATTTAAATTTTATTTTTAATTACTTGGTTGGCTTCCATATATTTGAGGAATATTTTTAGTTATATATACACGTCTGAAAATTGAAAATTGGTAACACAGACTATGAATATTTTCACATTAATCATTACTACTATTTCTCATACCATATACAAATTGAACTTTTCATTATGTATTTCCCAAATTAATATCATAAAATAGGGAATAAATTTTGAGATAACTGAAAGATCACATAATAAATACAAACATTGCGCAAATGATAAACTGTTTGTGTTACTCATAATGGTGGTAGTTGTCAAAAACTGAAAAGTATAAATATGTGTCGATATTAATGGTACACTTTTATGTACAAATGTTTACGTTATGTATTTTTTCTTAGTGCTTAAATAGTACTACAAAACAGTTACATACAAGGTGACGCACTCTGGGTGATGTCACTGAATTAAACGTCGTAACCAACTTTGACTGGATGGATGATAGTGGCGACATTGAATGGCACGTGCATTCTCGACATTTTCGTATATAAATTATGTACAATTTAGGTCTTCGTTATCACCAATTATTTATTAAGTATTAATTATTTCTACCGTACAAATATGAAGGTATTATTCGCTTTATCCACTGTCGTCTGTGGCCATTTATGTCAAGTGTTAGATGCAAAAATTAGAAATTATTTAAAGTACACTACTAATTACATTAATATGTACAAGTTTCGCTCTAATACTCAATTCGCTTACTCTGACTCTAGTCAAGTTTTATTTGGCTTTTTTTTCATACACATTTAAAATTATGTAGTCCTGGAGCTAAGTAGGAAAAATTTATGTAAATACATACCTTACGATATGCAAAGAGCTCCTTCTGCAGTCGTTGTCGTTCAGCTGTTGGCTGTTGACCCTTTCCACGTATAAACTTCAACATAATTTTATTTTTGAACTTATGTCTGTCAATTCACAAGCCTGTAAAAGATGCATAAAATATATATATATTTTTATCTAATTAATAATTATGCTATTTATATACGAATTTGCTCAAGCAATTTAAGAAACCGAGAGCATGGGACAAATATAATTGGAAAACGTTCATTCCAAATGGAAAAAGAAAATGTTACCACATATCGTAATATGACCTCGACTTACCTAACTTGTTAAACAAGTTGTACTCAGCTATAAAATGAGCGCGGGATATTTTATGTAGGAGTAAAAATTACTTTAATGCATACAATTGTTAACACAATCATAAAAGAAAAAAAAACTATGAATCTTATATAAAATATAATATATATTGTATATATGAAATATATAAAAAAGAATTTGGGAGATTAGATAGGTTTTAAGCATACTTTTACCACTGTAAGTGAATGACTTAAACAATGATTCAATAAAAATATGTTAATGAACCCACTATTCAGCACAATGAACGAATGAAGACTTCTTTGAATAACATATACATATACACATATACATATGAAACCAAAATCATTAGATTACTACTGGTCATTTTGTATAGTATGCGTGCGTGACAGTAAGCCATCACGCATTTAAATACACAGCACTCTTGTTTTTGTTGCCATTCGTTAGGCGACGCCCGAAAATTTATTAGCATTCTTTGCAAAAAAAATATATATATATATACACATGTATTGCCAATATACTGAATATATAAAACAAAGGCAAAAAATAAGGAATTCAAAAATTAGTTAAAGTAGATGAAAATATGTTGGATGTTTTTATTAAAATAGAAAACATATACGCAATATTCACAAAAATTATCAGAGTGTGCTTGTATGGGAGAGGCCTATGCATACATACATACACATCAACGTTCACCTCGGCTGAGTCATAGATATAGAAATGCACAAATATGTAAACGTACTTTCTTAAATCACAATGTTTGCATAAATACTGAATGTACAGGAATGTATGTTTTGTTTTACTCAATATTGCGCCTGTGTTATCGTCGGTATCACTAATACAATTGCAGTTGCGCGGTGACAACCTAAGAGTTCCTGTTCTCATATATTTTTCCCCTTGAGTCTGTGCGCTTGCGAACTGACTCAAAAATATTTGCAATTGCTCAGTTAACCAAGTTAAGCCAATATTTATATTTATTTATATTGGTCTATTAAGCACTAGTTTAACAAGGTGAGTACGGGTTTTTTTTTATTCCGGCTCTTTGAAAAAATTACACGACGCGTTCATACCGAATTTTCTGTCAACTGTATCGACATCGAAAAAAGGCCAATCGATTGCAATTAGGGATGGAAAACCAGATAATTGACTATCGGACTACAAGGCGCAAATGTATTTACCAAAGTAATCGGCGACGTAAGTTCAATTGTTTTGATAATTTTAATAATTTGTTTTCACATTTCTATCGTATACAACGTATCGTTTATATTTATTTTTTAATAAAGATAAATTAATTAAAGAAGATCTGTAGGTGTCTATAATAATTTGCGTTTAAAATGAGGCAGTTCACTTATATTGCGATTCAGTTCATCCACTCATTTGTTCATCCGCATATCGTTAATGTTCTTAGCAGCTGCTCATCGTAAACAAAATTAAAGCAAATGTAAAATCGTCTCCATTTAGTTACATATGTGTAATAATTAATATTGTTGCTTTATTCGCAGGCAGGTAGAAAATAACAATAATTTTGTTAATGAATACGTATGTTCGTATACCAGTTATTATTATTGATAAAATAAATCTATGCGGCATCAAATAACTTGTATAATTACATGGACCTGCTAGTTGACACTGGAAACAAAATAATATAACAGAACACGTTCGTATATAAAATAAATTTAAAAATGGCTAAGCGGATTGTTCCAATTGATAAATTCGGAGCTGCAAAAAAATTTAAATTAGACATTAGCATAAATCGGGGCCGGACCAGCGAAACCACAAATATTGTAGAATTCTGGACGAGTGATGACGACGATGACGTTTTGTTAGCTACCCAAAAAGCAGAGGAAAATCAGCGTAAAACTGATGCTCAACCAAGCACGCAGAACGAATTCACCTTTAAAAAATTTGCTGCTCAAGCTCTGCATGCCACTACAAGCACACAAGAATTATTCAATGATGAGATGCTTAGAAACCGTCTCTCTTCAAATTTAACCATCGAAGAAATATTTGGGACAGATGAAACCAATGTGTTTTTACCTGATACTGAGTGTGGCAAAAAAACACATGTTGAGGTAGCCGATGTGAACAAAGCGGTCGATGCTTCTACAAGCCAGGCAACAGAAACAAGGCGTCAATTAGCACAGGAACGACAACTAAAATTTTTAATGGAACGTGTTGATTTACTCAAAAAGGAAAATGCCAAATTGCAGAGAGACTTAGCAGATAGTAACAATCAGGCTAGTACTAAGGAAGGCGAGGTGAGTATGTATAATATTGTTGAAGTCCTTTTACATATTTTACATTCCAAAAGGTTGGTCTACTACGCAACGAGCTCCGACAAGCGCGCAAGCTGCTCCAAGCTAGCAAGGTCGATAGACTAACGAAGGCGGAAGATGAGAAAAATGAGTGTAATGAAAAAATAGCTAATGCATTCAAGCAAATAAGAGCTAAAGATACAGAATTAAATTTTACAACCGTAGAATTTAGGGAACTTAAAATTAGGAATGCAAAATCGAACGAACGTAATCCTTTCAAAGGAATAGATTATGACGTGAATCGAAGGTTGCTCCGTATTGAAAATTTATGTATTGAAAGCCACTTTGCAAAACAAAGTTCCTCAAAACCCAAAGGATATATGTATGAGTTAACGAAAGAGAAACGCGCGCAAAAAAAGCAACGGACTTTCTTTGAAATGGAGCTAGAACAATTAGTTCTTAATTACTCGCAAATGCACTCTGAGTGTGCAAATTTTAAAGCTGTAATAAACCGTATATTTGCTTCTGCAGGCAGGGTCTTTACAGAATTTTGGTTTTATACCCAGAATTTAGAATTACCACAAACCTGTACGCTGTATCCCTATCGGCAGTTTATCACACACCCTGGTCAAAGTACAGAGATGCGGTGTTCGTTGATTCAACCTACTGCTTTATATGACATGGAACGAGGAGTCCTATTACGCCGCTATATTGGAACATTGGCGTTAATATGTCAAAATCAAAGCATCATTTCACACATGTTGTTAACAAGAAAGCATGATAAACACTGGATTTTAAAAATATTGAGCGAAGCGATTACTAATTTAAGTTACTCTTTTGAGGTTGTCGAACACTTAGGTGTTCTTGAAGCCACGTCTTCGCTTCTCCACAGTTTATTGAGTTATATGAATTCAGTTAAAGATTCAACGTCCGAATCTGAGAATGACCTTTTTCATTTACTAAAACAACTAGTGTTCACTCGACCAAGTCCCTGGGTTTTCCATAAGCTCAGCGCTTGTATGCTATTGTGCACACAAAAAAGTCAACTAATGGCAAGAATGTGTGTAAACTGCCCTAGCAACTGCTTCGTATCAGATCGGGTGCGTTCGCTTTACCGTTTTGGTCCGAGCTCTTGCTTAATACAGGTGTACGCGGGATTGCTTGAGTTAAGCTTTTATAGCGATTTGGCTTTTCATCCCAGCCGTTTTAAACTTTTGTTATCGGTGTGTGAGAATCATGTGCGCTTCGTTTACCAATGCTTCATAGCTACACCTGAATTTATACTAAGAATGCTTTCACTTCCATCATATACTGATGACGAGAAGGATAATGGCGACACATTGTCGAAAGTTGTCAGTATGAACTCTGATGCAAGTCCCAGTAATAATAAAGCGACTAATTTGTATATGTCATCACTCGAAGCAACAAACGTATCAACAATTTCTTTAGCCCCTACGAAAGAAGCACTTCAAGAAATCCGTTGTGAGTGCTATGTAAAACTTTGCCTAAGCGTTGTTACGATCGTTTATCAAATGATGTATCAGTGGATAAACCAAGATAATAAATTAGGTATGAATGTGTAAGGGTTGTAATAACGTCAATATATATAATATATGATTATTCAGATATTTCACAAGTTGGAAAAGTCTCACAGATTGCTCTGCATCTATTTACGCTTATCTTTCGTGAATATTACCTCTCCTGCCTTTTCCGAGACTCTGAAGAAACAACAAAACATTATTTATCTCTACTATGTAATTGGTGGCAATGTCATGCGCGACTTTTAAATTTCGAAGATGAACATAGTGAGTATAACTTAACTATATTTCTTACCGTATTATGATGTAAATTTATATTACCATCGGGTATTTTTTTTCTTAAACTGTCTAAAATGTTAAAAATATATCTATATCGTCAACATCTTTTATTTCGCTCTATTTACAGTGCGCTTTTTGAGACAATTAAAGGATTTGCATTTTATGTTAAAACCGTTGCACCAAGAAGGAAACCCCACCAATCCAAATGATGATATGAGCGAGTGGAAACGAATAGTGAGCAATGCTGATAGAAATATAGAGCCATATATTCAAACAAATACCCTACTTGATTTTGGACACTGGGACTTAATACATGATAGAGATAATTTTTTCAATGGCTTAAAAAGAAAATCTTATAATTTTGAATGAGGTAAAAAAAAAGTGATTATTTTCTAATTGTTGCAATTAACGCCCACAAATATACCTTGTCTAATCTGTAAATTTTTTGATTATAAAAAAGGATTTAATTAATAATACATAGATTTAATATAGATAGTAGAAGCAATTAGCCTAGGCTAGTTTTCTAGTTATCCTAAAATCTTGTACAGGTATTTTTAACCAATATTTAATAAAAAAATACATGAAATGTGTTGTCAAAAGTTATTAAATATATTTATTTGATTAGACAAATAATTAGTTATTGTAATACGTTTTTTTCTCAGGAGAACTAAATTGATAATATGATTTCGAGTGGCATATAGATATATATATTAGAAAATATATATTTTACATATTATTAAAATACTGTATAAGAATTGTATAAAATTACTTTTCAATTTTTTTGTTCAGATATTTTACACATTACACTTACTTAAAATAATCCGACACACTAGGCATGTAAAAAATGTGTGAAATAATAGTAAGAATTAAAGATTAAATGAGCGTTGTCATTAATAGACACTAGATTGAATCGTATAATTTACCATTTAAGTGGTGTGCTCTTGTTTTGGAACGCATTAGCTCTGCAAATAGTAAAACGGTATGATTAATTATTTGTGATTCCTTTTTTTTGTCAGCTAATGTGAACATACTTAACAACTCCTTGTGTTTGTGCTGATGAAAGTGTGATAAGCGGCATCAGTCGTTCCACGAAGCGCTCATAATTACGTTCTAATTCTCGCTGATAATCTTTTTGGTCGGATAATATTAGATTTCTATTTTTTTTCAAGGCATCAGCGCATCGTTTTGAAAATTCGCGAAAGCACAACCGTAATTTATTTTGATGCTTCGTTGGTATAGTCGTTCCGTAAAAAAAATTTGATAGAAATACGCTAGCCATTTCCATAGGTCCCTGATTAACAGTAGTCCCGATGCAACCCTGTAAGACCATTTGTAATATTTTTGGGTCGGCCGGCTCCTGATTTGTAGCTGCAGCTAATTCCAATGTCTTCTTTTGGATGTCTTCTATTATTTCATAAATTATCGAAACATAAAAAAATATTTTGATAAATATCTTGAAATATTTGTTTACAAAATATATTTCCATTATATTGATTTTGCTTCATACATTAATTGAACAGATTTTGAATTGGGTCAATGGAAAAATATTGGATAAAACTATTAAAACAGATTTATTACAAACCTATGGCAACTTCAATCGGCTCCAATTGAAATAAAAAAATATTAATTACTTGGATACGAGTTTTAACATAAGGGAAGTGGTTTGCAGTTGTTAATATTGTTTTTCGCTTACATTGCTCATGTAATTCTCCATGAGCTTTTCCGCTTTTAGTGAAAAAAAAAGAAAATATAAATCGTTCTAATAAAAAAACAAAAATATATACATTGGATTACGTTCAACTCTACATGGCATATATACATTCTCATTCTTAATAATCGCTTACTTATATTAAAATTTCGTTCAAAATAAGTTTCACGATGGCGCATTTCATAGGTTTCGAAGAATGGTTCAACATAAGAAAAAAATATATACGCCTTTTCCGGATCTAATGTATTTGGGTCGAAATTATTGGAGTCCTTAATAATATGCACAGAATCCGGACCAAACCTTTCCGTAT